TCATGCACAGTTCCAAATATCACCAGACGACATTTGGTGTTCGGAAAGTAATGCCGGGGGGGGGTAAATGATAATTCATTTAAGTTTGCGTTTAAGTTTGTTTCTCGTCGTCCGCAACCGTATTCGTCGCGTTCGGCAAAGGATTCGATGGGCTTTCGAGAAACGGTTTTGGTAGGTGCATATGCGTTTTTCTGCATTCAGGCAACGCAGAAGCAGCACCATCACTGGCGAGAAGGCAACCTGCCAGCAGGATCGAAGTGTGCCGTGTGTCGTAAGACCTGTTGGTCTGCCGAATGCTTGGCCGGAATGCGATGCGAATGGTGCTGCGTGACCGTAAGCCTGACTGACCAAATTGTCGTTGATCGTCGTCAAACTGTATGTGATGTTCAGGCTCACGCGATATGCTACCGACAGATCTCGCCGGATTGCGACTTCGGTGTCCTACGTCAGATCATGCTACCGCCAAACTGCCTGACAGCCCCACGGACAGAGCTGCCGATGGAGCAGCTGCTGAGCATCAAATGTAGAGACAAAGATCCGTCCACTCCTCCTAATGTGCAGATACCAGAGGATTCCGGTAGCTCAACGAACGAGGAAACAGGAAGAGACAAAGAAGACTGTAAGATCTCGTTATTATTACAATCGTGCTCCTCCATAAAGCAGGCAGATCAACTCAGCGACATTTGTTATCTTTACATCTGCTCTAATACATTTTTGATGCACACCAAAGAAATTTAAATCGTCCATCTTTTCAACAATACAGTACAATACAATATAATCACGGCACAGTCCATCTGTTTGGACAAAACATAACCCGGTGTTCCTAAGAAATTACATAATGGTCGCTTTCCAGTTCCGCCGGTAAATCATAGACGGAAATTTCTGATACCGAATTTACTTCGGGCAGGCGGACCGTTTTCTTGCTTCTAGTCGCCAAAGGAGATCACAAAAGTATGCAACGGCTCCATGGTATTTGTGCACCTGCAGTGCATAGGATGCAAGGCCACATATCTGAATTGGATTGAACAAGACGTCTTCGTGCATAAAATAATCTGCTACTATAGATCGGCAAATATATGAGCAAAACAAAACCCCAATGCCGGAATAGCTACCAGATGGTAACTATCCAGTTTTTCTTTGTATTCCAAACCTTTGGTTTCCAGCAAATAACTTCGTACCTGCAATACAATGGTTGCAGGATTGCATCCCTTAACTGTGAACTGAGTTAAACGAGGACGCCTAGCAGCACAAATCAAATTTGCCACTATCAGAGTGGGAAGAAATAAGAGAAATGTAGCCCTGATATTCCAAAGTAGTTATCACGTAGTAGCGTTAAAATTTTTCTGTTTATTCGGAAGTTTTGGACGTTGGAACTGGAGTCCCTGACGATGACTCATTTTTTGTGCCGGGAGCGGAAACAACAATAAAATAAAAAATTACATCTCGCCTAAAACCATTTTATTGTTGAAAATATCAATGACTTGTTTGCTTTTACGGAGTTTTGAGGAAACTAGAGAAATCAGGTAACACGTTTGACAGAGGTATTACATGGAGAGCTTTTCTTGGATATGTAACATGGTGGTTTGGATATTACGGTTGATCGAGATGACCACAGTCCAATCATATAGATTCAAACGCGCGCCACGAACATATATATATATAATCCTTTGGTAAGTCACAAACGGGAAGAGTACGCATAAAATGTTCTTTAATTAGAGACATCTGACGTTTCGGACCAAA